CCCAATCTACATTCAACATCCACCAGGCCGCAGAACCAGCGGAAAGGCTTTGAAGAGAGGGAACACCCCCTCCCCGTTTCTGTCTTCCCTTTAGTACCCCCATACYCCCTTAAAAAACTGCCCCGCCAAAGCTGTCAGGGTGGCCCTTCCTTCCCCGCGCCTTTGTAGGGTCCTGTGCAGCCCGCTTCACATACCCCAGAACTTTAGTCCTGACACCCCCCCCCCCCCCCCTTCCACCGCATCACGCTTGTGAAAGACAGACCTACTCAAGAATGTTGTTTTTGGTTCCTTCCTTTTCTTGGGTGAGTGGGTGATTGGTAACGTGCCCGGTTTTTGTCGCTCGTATCAATGGTGCCACTTCATGACAATTTGGCAGGCGAGATGGCCATTTTTAATCGGACATTAATTTATTGCACTGCACCCTCGCTGGCATGACTTTAGTGAAAGGAGAGAGTAGGGTGTTGTGTAGCTTTTGTTCCATGTTTTGTTGGGAAGTGTGGCTAACATTATTAGCGTGTAGCTGTAGTTGGAGGCCTCCAGCTGCAGCGAGTCTTGTGAAGTTCCTTCATGTAGTTAAAGAACAAAAGACAATAAAAGAGGGATGTTTTTTCCCCCCTCAGAATCACTCTTTCTTGCATTGTCAAACACTCAGTGTCTATATGACAACAGAACATTGGCCAGTAAACTGCTCATGGCCAGCTACTTTAAAAAAACATTGAGGAAGTCATATCAAGTTCAAAATTCAGTCATTTCTATGTCTTGAGAAGAAGCCGTGTGAAGTCACGTTTCAAAGTTTGTGCAGATTTTTCATGGCACCTGGCAGTGGCGGATCTAGGATTTTTCTGAGTAAGAGGCCATCAAGGGGCCACAATATTCATAGAGGGGCCAATTATTTGTTCAACATAATTGCACATAAATCCTTTGTTTTGGTAAGTTGTATACATTTAACCAGTCACATTCGTTCCAACAATTGTAATGTAATGTAATGTTATTAAAAAAAATCAAATTCTCCTTATCATTGTTACATGCATTTTTACTGTACATGAATATAATATTCTCAAACAATGTGACAAAATGAAGCCATTGTTTGCCAGTTGAAAGGTTTTTTAATAATATACAATACAGTGTGTGACATGCTCTAGAAACTGTTTAGCTCCTGTGTTTTTGTTTGGTTCATGCAGCGCTACGATGCCACTCCAGATGCTCAAGCCTTTTCTGGACCGCATCCAATATTTGCCGGTACTCTAAGAACGTAACCTTGCATGAAAATCAAAGCTTCACTGGACATAAAAAATAAAGTCATACAAGCAGAAGTAGCTCATACAAAACGCTGAGCCGAAATAACGCCTCACAGCTGTTACTTGTCACAGTTATTATGTTCAGCTTTGGGAAACCTGGGTTTCGAGGCGACTTCTTTTGAGGATTTCAAGGCTTTGACAGAGACCAACGAAAAGCATTTTYAAAAAGAAATGTGCGTAGATGTGGGCTGTCATAACCGCAGTCGCTGTGGTCGTGGTGTTTGTACAACAGTGAGTTGAACAAAAATGTTGAGACTTGGCTAACAGGTGCCATTAAGGAGGACTACCTGCATGTTAGACTTGGTAGTCTGCCAAAAAAAATGCTTCCCCACTATATCAATCCACAACTACATTATATATTTTAGAATATACCAGGAACTTGAAATCTGAGCTAAAACCATGACCAAACAATTGCGTCATTCTGGTGCTCAATCTATAGTCTCTATTTTTTTTTTTTTTGGCTTGTGGCAAAATTTTCAAGTCCAGTCTTTTACTGCATTCCAAAATCTATTACCAGTTCGAGTGGGAGTCAGGGAGAAAGTAGCATGGCTTTTGTTTGTGGGTGGATACCTGGGTGAATGGCATGCACACAGCTGGAAAAATGATCCCACTTCAAACAGCAAGTTGAATCAAGACATAAGATAGGGTTTTGTGTGTGAATGCGTGCGTGTGTTTCAAGAAATGAAAGGAAAGTGGCAGGTTAGACATTAACTGTGAACATAATGAAACTCAACTGTTGTATTCTCGCTTTTCTGAATGAATGAGCTTTTCTCTGAAATTAAAAATCAAACTGGGTTGGATTGCTTCCTGCGTTTTGTGGCGTGTCGGACTGCGTTTCGCCCCCTTTCAGTTTAAGTTACGTAATCAATGAGTTCCTAAGAGCAGCTGAAGTATGTGTGTAAGGGATTTACATAGATTGGGATACATGTGCTGAGAAAAGCAGGGCCTCGAGGCAAATAAGACAAAATAACCAAGRCAGGATATGAAGTCAGTGCTTCATAAATACCAACCTTTCTGAGTAAGTAGACCTCTGGGTTTTATTGGATACACACAAAGGGTGACTGAACTCTTTCAGAGGATTGTTCAAAACGTGCAGTAAAACACAACAGAAGCTGCCATCTGGTACCTTTTTTGTTGTTTGTTTTTCATTTAATAAAACAGAAATAAAAAAATTAATGGTTATACTATTCCCATTTTATATTCTAAAAGCAGAAAACGTTCCATATTTTTATTTTTGTCGAACCGGAAAGTTAACAGCATTGTCAAAACAACTTGATGCTGTCCTCACCATGGACCTCTTGGAGRATGTTTTATGTGCTAAAAGCACCAGAAGCTCCAGGAAACAGTTTTAATCATCGATGATGTACAAACTATTAGCTAACACATGTTAAAGAAAAGTAAAACTAGTTAGCTAGTGTTTATTTATCGCGGCAGCCTGTTTAGCTAGTTATAAAGTACGTGTTTATTCTTCCCATTATCRGACCATTTAAGGTGGAGCTGGAATTTTTCTTAAAATAAAAAACAGAGTTATTAAAGAAATGCAGAAAACGTTAGCTGGTGTTTGTTTTTTTTGCAGGCTGCTTGTTATGAAAAAGGTGTTAGCTCCAACTTAAATGGTCTGATAACAACAATAGCCATGTTTCCRTCATTTTCTTATGCGCATTTTCAAGTATCGCATTAGAAAAGTTTGATGGAAACGGCAAAATTCAAAAAAACGTCCTCAAATTTGCAAAACAGTTTTTGATGCTTGTTTGAGGTGGTTTTGGGACTTTCTGAAAAAGAGTTAAATAACAAGAGGAGATGGAAATKTTTGCCAAATAAGTTCTGACGTTGTGAACATTGACCTCACCTGATTGATCAGCTGTTGTCGGCGTCTTACCGGACCTTCCKTTAAGAATTGCATTTCTTCCTCTACATCCCTGGACACCATATAACATCAGCAATGCTAAATGATATGACAAAACAATTACAAGTTGCCTRATAGCAACACATTCCCAACTTCTCCCCATTGTCCCGAGATGTGTGGTCCCTGTTAGTTTGCAACATCCACTTCCTGTTTATCACAGCCATGCGTAACGTCAGCATCTGATGAAATTACGTTTTGCGTAGCCTGGTTGATTCACTCCAAACCACTAGATGGAAACATGCATAAATCATATTAATTATTTTTTTGTAACATTTGAAAAGWTTGCTCAAAATTCACRTTACARTTGGATGRAAACATGTCTAGTGTTTGAGAAAATTAAAACGACGGATTGATTTCCTGTTTTTGGTATATAAAATAAAAACAGAATACATGGTTGTGCCTCTAACAAAGTRAAGCAAGTGAAAAAGAAAAGTGCATTCCTGGTCGTCTTAGCAATAAAAATTGATGTGTCTACTTACTTTTGTTCTTTCATTATCTTATCATTTGACGTCAGTCAGAG